TACTCATGAGCTCTTGCTTCATGTGCTTTGGCCTGGTTGAACTTGGCTGGTTTGAGATGCGGGTGGAGGATCCAGCAGTTGGTTTTGGAGTGTCCCACCTTCTTGCAATGCTCACACGCCACATGCTTGTCTCCTCCTCCCCTTGGTTTGAATTGAGCTTTATTAGCTGCTGCACTTTCCACCTTCTCAGCCTTGTTTGTCATAGACAGTTCTTCTTTTCTCCCAAAGAGACCATCTGAACCAATCTTCTTTTGAAGTTGTGCACACACATCATCATAGCTTTGGAGCTCCTTAGCTCTCAATATGTGTTTAACCACATCACTGAAGTTTGAATTGAGTGTGAGAAGAAGACCAAAGACCTTGTCTTGCTCACGCCTCTCCTCAAGAGTGTTGGGATCATTCGTGTTTGGCCTTAGCATTTCCAATTCCGATCATAGCTGACTATAATTCCCAAGATGCTTGGTGAAGTCACTCTCCTCTTGCTGCAAATTATTGATGGCTCTCTTAACTTCAAAGATTCTGGTCAGATTTGAAGTATTGCCATACACCTTTTTCAAGGTATCCCACAACTGTTTTGGAGTTTCACATTGTGAGTAAGAGTCCATGATAGGACCATCAAGAGAGCTTTGCAAGATAGACAGCACCATGAGGTCTTCCTGATCTCATTTGCCTTCATCTACCACTACAATCTCCTTACCATCTTCTCCTTGGGTGATTTGCCTTGGTGCAGAACTTGAAGTGATATGCTCCCAAAGACCTCTTCCTCCAAGGGCTGTTTTGGCCAATCTAGACCAAGTGATGTAGTTTTCTCCTCCCTTGAGAACAACAGGAATCTTGACTTGTATGAATTGATTCATCTTCAGAAACTATTACCCACTGGTTACACAAAGAAGTCAAGGAAACAACCCCTGAAATTTTACAACTCAAGAACACAGATTTCTTATCCACAAAGATAATAGATCTGGAAAGAAAATAGGAGGAGTAGGTTGATAAATCAAATAAAAGAGAGTATCAAAGTTAAATCGCGGAAGCAAAATAGGTATACAAGAGCTTAAAGCTTTGATACCATGTAAGAAAGTGAAGCTTTGAGATTGAAAAACAAGAGAGAGATGAGAGAAAAGAGTAAAGAAGGAGAAACTTTTTACTTAGATCTAAAAAATAACGTTACAAAGAGTTATAAAGAGATAGAGTATTCTTATTCTAGTAACCAAACACACTTGGCTTATTAGAGAAGCTATAATAAATAACTAATTTATTTATTTAATTTAATAAGTACAAAACTGTTATCATTTCTCCTGTTATCCTATATATAATGTTTAAGAAGTACATACGTGAAAAAGTAAGACAAAAGCTTATTACAATGATACAATCGAACGATAACGCTAAATTATGCAAAAAAAATAAATACAATAGTTGCTAAATTATCTCACAATGCCGACATCCAGAAAAGCATACAGCTTTGTTCTTTATCAAAACTTTTAATTAGTCTTTATCAAAAAAAAAACTTTTTAAAAGCCAAATGTTTTTTTCCTCTTTTTTCGGGTAATAATCTATTAAAATGACCTTTTTGTCTCTCTTCTTGATAACGCTTTCGGCTAGAGATCTTTTCGGTTCGAAATGTATAATGAGATAGATTTGTCAAATGATGTATATTATTAAAACAGAAACATTTAACTTATTATTGGTGGATTTCAAAGTTGGATTTCCCATTATTTAAATTGTCTTACCTATTAACTCAATTTTTAATAAAATATTTTAATAAATAATCTTTTACTAACAACCATGATATTTTTTTCATATCTCATCTAATATTTCTAATTCAAATATTTCTATGTATCTATTCATTATTATTCAACCAATATATTAATTTATAAATATGTACTATCTTTCCATTATAAAACAAAACTTATTATATATTTTCATTTATGTTAATTGTTTGCAGATGGTTTGTTAGCGTACATCTATTAATACTTATATCGATACTATCAGTATTATTAGTCAATATTATTTCAATATTATAAATTCAATACTATGAAATTGACCAACTCTACATTTTTATTTTCCATATTTATACTACAAACTATAAACTATGAGTGTGCATTCAGGAGTCATCCAAATTCAATTCGAATCTATTTAGGTTTCAAATTTTTGAGGTTAAAAATTTCATTTCCATTCGAATATATATAAATTTTGGTCCGTGTTTATTTCTGATCTTTGCGGGTTTGGATTCGGGTAACCACTTTAATGATTTTACCGTACACATATCAATAATATATCTATAAAAACTATTAATATAAAATATATAATCATATTGTTTCGTCATATAAACTAAATATGGAGAAACTTAAAACTATATAAAACTAAATAATATAAAATATATATATAATTTGCTTAAGAAAAAATAAATCATGCGCGTCCGTGCGGATTATGATGTAATATAGATTAAGATAACAATTTGAAGAATGGAGAAAGGCTTTATGTGCATTATCCAAATAGGAACATGTAGAGAATAAGCTTTTATGATAACCCCTTTATTCCATATACCATTTTCTCAAACTTTTTTTAATGATACCACTTTTTGCTCAATTCCAAACCCAAATCTATCTCTCTCTTTTTTTTTTGACAATTTATTCACAATCACAGTCACCCCTCCATTTATTGATTCTGTCATTTGGCTAAAATATGGAGACGAAGACAAAACTCGATAGCGACGAGAAAAGAAAAAGTGAGAAGCATAGTGAGTAGGCACCCACCATTTTATTTACTGACATTTCATGCCCAATTAAATGATACACTCACAAACGAGATCATGTTAAAATAAATCAATCATGGATGTTTGTGAATGAATACTTATTATATCAGCACATGGAAGTTATAAACCAAACGAGTAACAAAGGTAAATTTGTTTTTAAAAGTTAGTGTTCATGATTCAGGGTCATTGAACATCACTCATCATGATTCATGGTTATTCACGATGATGTTTTATGTAAATTTTTACCAGGAAAAGTTACAACCAGATTCAGTTAAAAAACAGTAAGCACAATGCTTCTGCCTACTTTTGCCAATGGGTGAAAGCAGACAATGGTTCTCACAAGGTCCAAAAGCATTTTTTGTTTGTTTATTTTTGACTACGTTTGTACATAAACCATACCAAACAACTTATCTGAAACCCCCTGAATCGGACGAAAGGTTTTGTTGTAAGTTCTCTCATCTAGGAGGATCTCTGCTCTGGTTAGCTTCTCTATTTCTACGTCTCCTACCTGAGCGTCCTAGTAGAACCCGTCCTTGTCTCCTCATTCTACTTGCCAAAGAGTTACTATTCGTATCTTCCTCTTCGTCTCCAGAGACAGCCGTCTCACTTGTTCCACGGTGGGTTGTCAAGTCATTCGAATCTGAATCAGAGTGTCTTGTCTGAATCCTTATCGCCCCTGCCCCAAGACCATGCATCATAATGACAACACTCCACAAACTCCTACCAAATCCAGCATGATGCTCACGACCCTCCTCTGAACCGTAGGGGTTGTTTGTTTCTATAACGTAATCTCCAAACACTGTTGAACCAGGTAACATCGAGATAACGGTGCTGATAACATCATCTCGGTCTTGCTCAATCTCAAGCCTTCTCCAGTTCTCCTCCACGTCAGGATCAACTTCACGCGGCTTTGCACAAGGGTGGTCTATTTTCATGTGTTTCCTCAGCTCCTTGAAGCTTCCAGCAAAAACACATTCCTCCTGCATACATATCCTCTTCTTGAGATTCAGAAAGTCCCGTGCAGGTTGCACTATTGTCCAGCCTTTCACCTGGCCTCTACAAAGTGGGCATGTGAGATTCCCAAGCTCAGACTTATTGATAGACGTTGTCTTCAGTTTGGCTGACGCTTTCTTGTACTGGTCTAAGCAATTGGAATAGCGGAAACTGGTACCACACATGTAAGGACGACATCCCTTGTCATGAGAGGAGCAGAGGAGGAGAACAGCGTTGTGTGGACATTCCATGCATACCGAGCATATAACATTCTCATAGTCCTTCTTCTCTAGACACTTTGAACAATCTTTTGCAAACACGTTACTTTCCACACGTCGGTTAGAAGACTGTGTTTTGTAGGGTCTTGCTTTGAGCCGTCGCGCATGAATCCTGCGTCTTGTCCTTGTAGCTTTGGCCATAATCACAAAATCACACCTATACAAGTTACTGACACAATTAGCAAAAAACAATCATATAAAATGTTTTAACAACATAACCAGATATTTTTTCAGTTCAGCACTTCGCACTAACAGCAAAATGAAACCAAATATTCCACAAAATTACAAGAAAAAAAAAACAAAAAAACATTGATTTGAACAGCTGAAACAATATAAATCTATTCATATGTCACTGGGATTGCACCCATGAACACATTACCTATGGTCATACAAATGTAATCTAATGAAACATAGAACAAAAGCATCAGAGAAACGAAAGCAAACTCACGAGATATAACACAATGACTAAACTCTAAGCAACAAAACAGATACATAATCAATGTATTAGACCAAGTAGGATCTAATCATCTATGCCAATGTGTTACAGGACAACAAACAAAAGGAACGTGTTTTATTCAACACACATGCGACATGACACAGTGAATCAATCATGCCTATGAATCTAATCCACATGGAGAAAAATCAACTCTACACATCTCAGATCTGGATAAATTTTATATATAAAAAAAATGTAAATAATCTTTTCGATAATTATCTTTAATTCCACCAAATAAACAATAAAATATGAATGCCCAGGTGGATTAATGGGATTATGAAGATGAAGAATTCAATAAAGTTGCAACCTTTTTCGTGAACCTAAACCCTAATTTTCCAGACCTAATCGAAATCGGAAAGCTATGGTTCCTCAAAATCACAACTACACAAACTTCAATTTCACAGTTAAACATCAGAATTTCAAAATTTAACTTTACCTTAAGAAGGGATTTTGAAGATTAGGGTTTGTAGAGTAGATGGAGCGAAGAGGGAGTGTGAGCTGCGAGATTCCCGTCGAAGTGCCACCGCCAAAGCTCTGGTTTCGGAGTTTCTCTTTCCTCACGCCACGTGTCATGGAGCTTTATGACCTCCTTCGACTGCGTTTAAGTATACGCGGAAGTTAAGCCTTTTTGGGCCCATTTTAATTTATGATTGGGCCTTGCCACTTAAATTTTATTCCGGATTATTCAATGATTTTTTAGTGAAAAGGGATGATACGAATAAACTTTGAAAATAAATTTCTCTTTAAAAGGTTGACAAAATAAAATTTTCAGTTAAAAAGTGTAAGTTTTGAAGAATATCGTTTGGTTTTTTTATTCTTTTCTTCTAAAAAGGTTATTAGTGTAATTAAGTATTTGAATCGGTGCATTGGAGAAGTAATCTAACTACGTACCTATAGTGGAATTCTCTCACATATATTATAAATTTTTCATTGATTTAATGAAACTTATAAACTCTTTTAACCACTTGATGATGGTCTAGTGGTAACAGATTTTGGTTTGTTAGATAATCTGGATTTGAAAATACCACACTACATTTGATCATGTGATTATGTGGATATGAATACATTATTTAAGGTTCATTTAAATACCGATCAAATAAAAAAATTATTTATAACGTAAAAACTCCAATATGGAATTTAGGACTGGACATTTTATCCGTTATATTTGATTCGTTTCGTTATTCGTTTCGATTTGATCCGAAAATTTTGAATGTCCGTAAACTTTCGAATCAAAACAAATACTAAAATTCAATATCCGTTAAAATCAAAGAAAATCACAAATATTAAAATTTTGGGAAGCGGATATCCGATTCGATCCGAAAATATATAAATATATGTAAATCTTGATTATATTTAAAATTTTAAATGTATAAAATTAGATAATTATTATTCTAGCATATGATTTTGAACTATTCTATTCACATTATTACTTATATAAAAGTATTACATAAAAAGAGAGAAAAAAATTATGACAATTATATTTTTTTCTTAAATTTTGTATTATTATATTTGTAACTTAAACTTAAAAAAATTACAAAATATGAAAATTTTACTAGTTCTTTTAATTTTTTTTCTATATATCATGCAAAAAATATTTTTACAAAGTAAATTTGTATCAAAATCTTAAGATTATTTGTATTAATGAAAATGGATGAGATATCCGTAAATATTCGTTTTTGCGGATATCTGTATCTTTTCGAAGCAAATCAAATACTAAAATTAGATATCCGTAACATTCGAAAAAAATTATAAATACCTTAAAAACTCCGGATATCCGATCCGTGCCCATCCCTAATGGGATTTTCGAATTAAAGGGTTGACACGGCGACAGTAAAATGGGAGAAGAAATCAGAACAAGAGAAATGCATAAACTAGGCTAGTTTAACTAGCAACGGAAGATATGGCTCCGCCGCCGCTTGCTCTCTTGTCCCACGCTCCTTATTCAACAGGAAAGTTCTTTTTTGGTAAGATAAGTAAAACACATGCATATGTTTTTTACACATGCAAAAATAGTTAGAATTCCTTCTTATAAAATACATGGATATAGAAGAGCAAGTGGGCAGTGGTCACACCCACCTCTACTGCTTACCAAGTCAGGGTTCAACCCTGCAACTGCCCTTATTAAAGCAATACATGGAGATATGAAGTGTAATATCGTTTATATTGATACATTAACTCAAAAATAAAAATTACTAGATTTCGACCCGCACAACCGTGCGGGTATTTTAATACAAAAATATTTGAAATTTATAATAAAATTTATTAATAAATAAGTATAATTTGATTATGTATGATATCCAATTTTATAATAATATTTCTATGACTTATAATGATCTTAATATAAAATTTATTAATTTTTATTTTTGTAACAATTTAAAAAAACATTATTATGTAACATTACTAATTTATATATTTTGTTTTTTATTTTTAAATTTGAAATCTATGTAAAAATTAAATTAAGTTAGACCTACATAATACATAAACAAAATTTTGAAATATTATTAAAGTATTTTACATAATTTTAATTTTTTTTTATAAATTAAAAATGAATTAAAATTTTAATTATATTTTATGATAATTAAAATTTTAATTAAATAATTTTTGAAACTATATCTTGAAAAAGATTCTAAAAGATTTTTAAAATATTTTGTTAGAATTTTTTGAAAACTATTTATTTTATTTCAAACAAAAATTAAAGATATTATAATTTTATGTAAGATTTTATAAAAATTCTAAAGATGGTCCAAATTAAAATATCACACATGAAATGAGTCATGACTTCTCTTTTAATATAATAGATTGTTTTTTGATATTCTATTATATATTTATATTAAGAGATAGATGATATAAAGTTTTATTTTTCATCAAATTTCTTTGAGATAATAATTATAAAGAAAATCTTCACATAGTCCTTTTTATAACTGCAAAATTATGTGCTGGCTTTTTAATTTTTAATTATGAGCCAAAACCTAAATTTGAAAAAAGCTTATAAAATGAATGTGAGATAAATAAAAATAATAAAAACTGAAAGTCTTCTAGTTGACTATTTTAAGATCTGATCCCAAGAAAAACTATCTTCTTCTGGATTTCTTCGTAAGAGTTAATTAATTGCAAATCTGAATTTCACGTTAGGGAAAAAACAATAATGATGTCACATATAGAATGGATTATGTTAACGCTCATACTTCCTCTGTTTCATAATAAATGTTATATAGAATTAAGAAAATAATTAATTTTGTATATTTTCTATATAAAAACACAATTATTCATACACTTAACTATATTTTAATCAATAGAAAAATAGATTATAGAATAAAATTAATAAATTTTACATTGAAAACCGAGAACGACACTTATTTTGTAACGAAAATTTCTCTCTACAACGACACTTATTATGAAACAAAGGGAATAGTAAATTAAATTAATTAGATGGGTTTAATTATTTAGCAGAGGGACATACGTAATACTATAATCCGACGTTCTTGCCATCAAAATTGTGCACCAACACGTACAAAGCTTACAAGAAACCAACAAGCCCATCGCCCATCTTCGTAGCTCTCATGCATATTAATATACTATTTTCAGTTAAACTCAGCATCAACTTTTTATAGATCAATACACAATAGATCAGTGACTTTTGTTTATGCTACACAACACACGGTACATACCTGTTGGATATGCCGGTTTGGAGCATAGAAAAAATAAAACGTTGGTATATGTTCTATAAACTTTTGTGATATATTATTGTATATGTACATAATTCTTCAAAACTGTTAATTTTTTTAAATTTAATTTCTTTTTATAAGTTCATACAATCTTAGAATCGGCTTTTTTTTTGGACAATCTTTGCAACATCTTTTAATATCCATCATATCAACTGACTTCTCCTGATAAGTTGAACGGAGATCGTAATTAATGCTTACACCACCCTAAGCAGGATGTTGTAGCATGAGGGCTGCGCGCCAATACAATTCCATAACACCAAACAAATCTTGACTTTAAGAAAATATCCTCACTAGCTACTCTGTTACGAAAGTTAAAAATTTCAAGAACCCTTCGAGAGGAAAATTCAAGATAATAGATTGCATTATATAATAATCCAAGTCGTTACATATCTTTAAAAGCTTTGAATTGAGGTCTCTGATGTTGTATTGAGGGAACAAAACTCTTGTACGTTTTGAACTATACAATTAGAGTTTTAAACACATCAATGACAAGTTGAAAAATATCCACACTTCGATGGACTTTTGTATTTCACATGGTACCATACATGTGATTAGGAAATTTCCTGGACCCTAGTGCCCATATATTGTTGATATAAAAATGCATGAAAATGTTAAAGAATCCCCATCGAATGTATCCATCATTCCCTGGTAACTCCGGTTTAATTATTTTTGAGGCCAAATAAGAGCTTTATTAATTAACAAGAATTGGTTATCTTAACGATCAAATGATTATTTAAAGAAAGTCAAAGCTAGCTTTAGATGCGTACGAGAGTGAATAATACAAATAGTACACGAAGTTCTGATCAGAAAATGGAAATTTGACTTTATCACTTCAAAGTTAACAAACAAACACAGAGGTTTGAATTTCATCTCCATTAATGGGCATGGATCTTTCTCTCAAGCTCGAGAAAGAGAAAGATGAAGAAAGATCAAAACACAGCTGTGAGCAGAAAGAAGCAGAAATAGAAGATGGTAGTGAAGATAAAGATGAAAAAATGGTGAAAGAAGACGAAATTGAAGATTCTTGTTTAAGTTCAAGAACTCGAGAAGAAGAAAAAGAACGTGAAGAGGTACTTACAATACGTCTAAATATACATCAGAACATTTTGTATGAAAATATGTTAACATCCATGGATATGGAGATTAGCTCTTGCAGATGCAAATCGAAATGGAACATGTCAAAGAAGAGAATAAGAGGTTGAGGCAGCTTGTAGAGCAAACCCTTCAAGATTATCGCCAGCTCGAAATGAAATTCCCGGTTATCGATCAAACCAACAAGATGGTAAGAGAATCTTGTCTTTTCATACACGTTAACATTTAATAAGTATATATATAATTTGATGTCTTTGTAACTTAGGATCTTGAAAGGTTCCTTGGAGCACAAGCCAAGGATAGGAAAAGAGGAGTCGAAAGATCTGCTTCCTTGGTAGATGGAGAATTAGGGCTTTCACTTTCTCTACAGAAAAAGCAGAAACAAGAAGATAACAAAGAAGCTGAATCAAATAACACGCAAAGATACAATAGTAGCAGCATGATTCAGGGACATGATATAAACACGCAACGTGTCATAATGTCTTCTCCGGGTAATAGAAAGGCCAGGGTCTCGGTAAGAGCCAGATGTGACACTCCAACGGTGAGTTTCTTTATTTATCCGATCTTAAGACTCAACTTCGAGAATAGTACCCTGAAAATTTTAGAAATATTTGTGTATGAATGTGTAGATGAATGATGGATGCCAATGGAGAAAGTACGGTCAGAAAACCGCGAAAGGGAATCCATGTCCAAGAGCTTATTACCGATGCACCGTGGCTCCAGGATGTCCTGTTAGGAAACAGGTAATATCTGCGAGAAGTGTAAATGAACATACCTTTACATTCTAGGGTATTATAATCTAGAGAAAAATGTACTACATAACCAAAGTTTATTATTATATATTCAGAAAATAACATCTAAATTTTAATATTTTATTTACTAGATTTGAAATGCATGTGATGACATTATTATAAATCACTAAACTACATGTCATGATTCTATTTGCAATGTCTATATAGTTTTGTCTTTATATGCAATGTGGACATATAGTTATTAAATAGTTGTATGCATTTGTGAAGGTACAAAGGTGTTTAGAAGACATGTCGATACTGATAACAACTTACGAAGGAACACATAACCACCCACTTCCGGTCGGAGCAACAGCCATGGCTTCTACTGCCTCCACTTCTCCATTCTTGCTACTTGATTCTAGCGACCATCTCTCTCATCCTTCCTATTTTCAACGAAATGGTAGCAACAATCAGTCAATAAGAAGCTTGATCAACTTCGACGATCCATCATTTAGAGGAGGTGACCATGTTTCATCTTCCCAAAACCGATTAAACTGGATGATGTAGATTCGTCACTCTCTTCTGGTCCCATTATCATGGATTCTTGCATTTCTTGGTCTTGTTTTTTTTTTTTATAACATTTATGTCTTTCGTATATATAAAACTGAAGGGTGAAACTTGTTTATTTGGTTCCGTTTGATGTTCATTAATTTATAAAAGTAAGGATTGATAATTAAGCTAAATAACCAAGTGACAAAATATAACGCAACAAGAGATCAAATGATTACAGATACATATCTCAACACCTCTTCTATCTCCCATAGAATCATTTCATACACATCGCTTAGAATTCTCCAAGAACATTTGATCAATCTATAGACCTTGTCAAGAAGGTTGTGATTTTGGGTCCAGGACCAAGACTACTCCTCACTCTATATAATGGCACTGTTTCAACATCTAGCATGGCGGTAAAGATCTTTGGTGTTACAAAAGAATCACATTTCTACAGACTTCTCAGTGTGATGAAAAAAATATATAGCAAGCTCTCTTTTTTGTCTCTTCCTCCAGCTTCATTAAGACAATGAACATGTAACTATGGGAAACCATGATGATTTCCTCAGTCACCCTGAAGGCTCTTGCTTCATGTGGAAACCGCCATTTTGCATTGTGTTGAATGGCATCGCCTGGTACAAGTCAAGGAAACCAACTGCATTGCTATCGCCAAAGAGATTAATAAGTGAAACAAATGCCAGCCCTTGGACGAAGCAAAGGAAAAACATGCTTTCAGCCTTTAGTTTATCAATTATTGGGTTACTAGGTGGATGGCCCGCACGCCTGTGCGGATATTAATATAATATATACATTACATGAATAAAAAATAATATAAATGTATAAATATATTGTAATTTTCTTTCTCTTTTACATAGATACTCTGTTTTTAATATATTTTTCTATTTTACTCATTTCGTTTCTCCTTGTATTTTTTCACACATTCGTTTTGTTTCTTATATATCTCTCTTTGCATTATTTTTGTATGTCTTTGTACACCTCTCTGGCTCTCTTTTTCTTTTTCTTTCTCTTTCTCTCTCTCTTAGTTGATCAAATAATCTCAAAATCTCTCAAACTTACATTCACTCTCTCACAATTATCTATATTCATTCTCTTACCCTCGTCCTTAATATGATCCTCAATATTTAATTTTAAAACTCTTTCTATCTCTTTTTGGTTGCAAAATTTTCACCAGATTTTGTTAAATCTTCTAAACACTTTGACATAGTATTAATAAATGATTTCAGAATCTATCTCACTTATATTCAATCTCTCACTTATATTCTTTTTCATCTTCATTATGATCATAACCGACTCTCTAATCCTTATCATTACCATATCTCCCTCTCTTTCTCTCTTTCTTACATATTTTTTATTTAGAATTTAATATAAAATCACAACTGACTAACCAAATAAATTCATTGTCAAATTCTCTCCAATCTTCACACTATCTTATCAAACATTGATTCCTTTGACCAAGATTTTCATTGAAAAAAAATATTTTATTATTAATTTTGTTTTTCTTTAATTACTTCATTACCTACATATTTTAAGTGAGTCTGAATAACTGTATTTCAAAAAAGTAAATTTGATTAAATAATTATATAACATAAAATATCTTAATTCTTAAATGATGTGATGTCATTATTTTAGACATAAATTAATATAAACATGAGATTCAACAGTTTTAATATATCAAAATAACATGTTTCTAGTTGTATAAATTTTGTTATAACATTGTTATCATATATTTTTAAAGTTTATTACACCGCAAAAAATAATTATCATTATTTTAAAATAATTTATTTTATAATTAATTTGCGTTATATTTTGCATCTTCAACATTAACAATTTTATAACTTATCATTTATATTTATCTCCCTTGCTCAATTTTTCCTTATGTTGTATAAACACCTAAAAATAATTAGTTTACAATTATATTCATACGTAAAAAATATTTTGGTATACAAATAAAAAATTATGTATGTACAAATACAAAATAACGAAGAATACAACAAAAGGTTTTATTATTATTCACTCATATTTTTATTTATGACTCTTTTCTTTCTTTTTTCTTATTAAAAATAAACATACCAATTTTATTATACTTAAAGCTATATGAATTATATGAACATAATATTAACTCTAATCTTGTTTAATATAATGTTTTGATTTTTCGTAATTTTATATTATAATAAACTTTTTATTTATTCATATTTTAAAATGACATACCATATAATTTTCTGTTTTAAATATAAAAATACTTAAATAATTTTTAAAGTGATAACTCAACTATACTATTGACATTTATCTCTGAAAATGATAGATTTTTTAAAAAAAAATTACATTTGACTGTTTTGCATTTATTGAACATATTTTAAGAATACATATATATAGTGAGTGAGTATTAAAAATATTATTAGTTTTTTGTAATGTATGATTTTTTATCCACTATTAATAGAAAAACAATTTAAAATCATTTATATACTTATTTCTATAATATAATATATATTTATATATATATTCTAAATTTTTATAATGGAATATGTGATATTTAATTGTTTCTATAAACAAATTCTATTAATCCTATGTATTTAAGATGATTAATTGTTTGTTTGGTAATATATATTAGATTAGGTAATTTTAGGATTAGTTTCCTTTTAAAAAACTGTAATTAAATAAGTAAAAATTTAAATGTCAACAACCAATCAAATTAATAGAATTAATTCTACATTGCACCTATGAATGACACGTAAGCAAAATTCATTAAAGTGACTTCTCTTTTAATATATAGGGGATGTTTCTGTACAAAATCGAGAAATTGATTATTTTAGTTTATAAAATTGGTAAATCATTTTGTTTGTAAATATTTTGATTTTAAATTTTTATTGTGTTGAATATAAATTTACCGTTTCATTTTCTGTTAATAATTCTAAAGATTTTTTACCAACAGTTATATACTAATTATATCAATGAAATATTTTAACTTGCATTTTCGACATATTTTTGACGTATTATTCTTTTAGAGGACTCGATAAAAAGTTCTCACGATTTTTTTAATTAGAATGATTTAGTATTTTAAGAACTTTTAAAATCATATAAATTTAAATGTTCCCTAATTTTTATGACCTCGTTGATATACATTTATAAAGAATAATCTAAAAACTTAACTTAATCGTAAAAATATAAATAATATTTATGACCCGAAGTTATCTCAGTTATCTTTTTTTGTTAATTATTTTATATTACTATGTTTACCCGAAGTTTTACAGTTTTGGGCGGTAATCTCTCTATTTTAATTTGAAGAATAATTTTTATAACATTTTTTTAAACATATGTTGACATATCTACAAATCATTTAATCATAGCTGTCATCAATCTCTATCTTTATGAAACCGATTCTTAGCTAACTTTCTGAAACCGCTCAGATATGGTTATATATTTCAAATTTGCAAAAAGAAATGCAAGTCCTGGAGCTAGATATAAAGTTTATTCCTCTAAAGAAGACATCAAAGTAACCAAGTGCTGTTTGGTGAAGATTCGTTTTGTGGATCACGGTTACATATCGAATTTCACCATCCATGAATATCAATGAAGATTTTCTTTGATAGTTAAAAGTGATTTAGATGACAAGAATATTCGATTTTCTACATGACTTTAATCTGAAATTTGGTGTATGATCTACAAAAAGGAATAAGAAAAATAGGAAGTGTGAAACTGTCAGAGAACAAAAAAAATATAACTCATCTGTAACTTTAAAGTAACGGTGTATAGTGATGGTATAGCACAAAATCGACGTACGTTATTAGAATTGTATTCGTGAATAGAAATAAAGATGAGATTCCTTAAAGCTGGATACAAAACCAACGGCCAATGTTAAAGCATATTTTCAGAAGTCATCTATCTTTCATACTAATACATGCACGAGCTGACTCTCAACAATTTGTAACACTTCATATGGACTACAAGCTTTCTTGTACACTTTTTGGCGTACGTACAATGTGGAGAACCACAAAGCTGAAAGCATGCGCCGCACGTGTCAACAGCATCTAAACACGTTGCTGGATTCCTTACGCATTTTGCTACGAATTTCGGTTTGTATATAAAGGTAGAGTATTTTGCAACGAATTAGTAATTATTTAGCAAAATCACCCACTTACACGTCTGCTCTCTGCATAAGGTGGAAAAAAACTGCTCATACGTGTGGAGGTCTACTAATTTTTTTCAAGAAATTGGAAAGTATTCCCACATTTGTGTTTCTCTAATTGGAAAATCTATTTTAAAACAGCTAACCAACTTTTAGAGTCTGCGTTCATTATATAAATTTGCATGAGTCAAAGAAAAAAGAGTAGTTCCCCAACACGATAGCACTAGTTAGATGATGTATTCCTTACGCATTTTCGGTTTGTGTATAAAGGTAGAGTATTTTGCTACAAATTAGTAATTATTTAGCAAAATCACGCACTTACACGTCTGCTCTCTGCATAAGGTGGAGTAAACCTGTTCATACGTGTTGGAGGTCTACTAATTTTTTTCAAGAAATTGAAAATTATTCCACGTTTACGTTTCTCTAATCGGAAAATCTATTTTAAAAATCTAACTAACTTTTGGATTTGCATGAGTCAAATAAAAAAGAACAGTTCCCCAACACGATGGCACTAAACTATTCATTTGGCTAATATATTCTTTTCATATTATAAACTATTCCCCGCTTAAAATAAACTGTAAATGAAATTTATAATAAGATAAACTGGAAAACTAATCAAAAATATATAAACAGGAAAACACAGACCCCACCTAGTTTTCTCATTTCTGTATTTCTCACGACCATAATTCTACGAGCATTTATATTTTATTGCTATTTTGCCTCAAAACATTATAATAGCAATAAAAACCAGTCCATTTATATTTCTCAGTAAAATAGATATTGCTATACTTTCTATTTTATATAAATAGCATTATTGTATTAGAAAATCATTTTATATTTTTTAAATTATTATTCAACGTTTATCTTGTTATAATTAGAATTAAAATAAATAATTATAGTGAAATATAAGTGATAGAAATACAGTTTTTGCATAATAATCCTTTATGTAAAAGAGAATTTGTTAGAAATACCACAAGTTAAGTATCATTTCTCAAAAATATTATATATTAACATTTGGATTTAGGTTTTAATGATTATTGTTTAGGATTTAGTATTAATAGGTAGGAGTTGGATTTATAAATGTTCTCTAAATATATATTTTTTAAAAAAATTAATATTATTTTATCACAATTTAGGGTATTTGTGAAAATAATCATTTATTAGTGGTAAATTTAAAAAATGATACCAAATTTGTGGTAGAATTGAAATTTTACTAAGATAAAAAGAGTTTATCTCAAATGCACTAATTGATCATTTATGTTAAAAAAGATAGATGATTCAACAAATTCTGCTTTTATGACTAAATAAGATCTTTGTTTATTGTTTTATAATGTACATGTTAGTTTAATAATTTTATAATTATATAAAAAACTTGCAAACTTTAAAATGAATAGTCAATGTTCAACTATCATAATTAAATATTACTCCATCCGTTTCACTTTATTTGTCATTCTAAGTTTTTGCACACAGATTAATGAAATATTTAATTTTACATATTTCCAAGATAAAAACACAATTACCTATACATCTAACCACTTTTCAACCAATAGAAAATTAGAATATTATATAAAACTAATCAATTTTGCCTCGAAACTTTAAAACGACACTTAATTTGTAACAAAAAAAATAAGCCTAGAATGACTTATATTCTGAAACGGAGGGAGTATTAATTGTAAAATCAAAATAAAGATGTCAAAATATTTTTAGAAAAAAAAATAGAAAAATACATGAGAGAAAAGAAATCTTAACTAGTTGAAATTTTTGGTTTTCTACTGCCCTTCGTGATCAGAGAAGAGATTTCAATTAATAATGTTTTGGATAATAACTGATAGTGTCTCTTGGACTGGATATGTTAAAGCTATAGCAATATTCCGGAAACATATTTTACCTGAAATCAGCATCTTCTTATATCACAACTCATTTTATGGTACTAAAATTTAGTGGACCACAGCGACAATAAATATTGGAGTAGTTAACTTGGTGTAATAAATATAACTGACGGGCTCAGAGGAGTGTCAATCTCACTTGGCTACGTGTTCCCCTTTTCTCTCTCTCTCTCGCACTTGTTGGGTGGGGAAGTAGAAGAAACAAAGCAAAAGAATGGTTAGGAAAATATGTGAAATGTGGAGAGAAATGAAGGCTATAACGGCAATGGTGGTGGTTCAGATAGCAACAGCAGTGTTGAACATTTTGTTCAAGCTTGCGGTGGTAGATGGTATGGAGCCAAGAGTTCTCGTTGCTTATCGTCTCTTCTTCGCTACACTTTTCATGCTTCCCCTTTCTTTCGTCTTTCAAAGGTTATTACCGTTATTTTATCATAATGCTTTGATATCAATTACTTTAACCAATTTGTCTCATTTTTTAACTCTATGTGATCGGCTAGGGAGAAGAGGCCAGAGTTTACATGGAATCTTCTCTTACTAGCACTTCTCTCGGGGCTATTGGGGTACGTCAATTTTCACACACACACAAAAGTTTTTCAAGCTTTACATGCGCTCAAAACTGCACTTTTTCCTTTTTGTTTTTGTTTCCTCAAGTCTCAACCATTTTTTTCTTTAAAATAAATGATCAAACATACAGAGTCTGACTGTTATATAACTCATACAATCACATGCTCAATTCTATGTATACGCAATCCACTATTTTTTGTAAAAAGAAACTAGTCATTAGCTAGCTAGGATAATAGTGATTACATCCTAACCACAATCACGAGAAGACTGATCATGCAATCGTCTACATATAGTAAAAAAACAATATATTATCAATTATTACCTACCGGTGGTTTTATACTTGAAGTCAACATGCACGTACCAGAACGTAGAAAACTCTAGACCAATTTAATCAATATCACCAACCAATGGTTTTACATTAAAAACCAGCATGTACCAAAAACATAGAAGGGAAATTAAGTTTATGGTGACGTATATAAGTACTTGTTTCTAAAATAGTTATAAAGATTAATATGTAAAAACAACTATATTAGATTTAATCAAGACTCAAGAGCGTGTGGTCCAATGGTTTCTTCGAGTGGATTGAAAACTCATCATATGAATCAAGTCTAGGGATCGAGTTCTCTCATCAATTCAATTTGATGTGGTTCCTTCTTCGATGTAGATGTCTTAAATGACAAGAATAATTAACTTCTTACATGTCATAGAGATATTATTCCAAGTTTTTTTGTACTCCATATATATATATATATATATATATATATATATTAGATTCATTATAATTTGATGATACTTGAACAGTGCGGTGTTGCCGAGTATCTTCTCCATTACGGGTCTGTCTCTAACGTCAGCAACATTCGCTTCTGCTGCTGCCGTTCTCACTCCCTTGATCACTTTCGTACTGGCTGCATTTCTTAGGCAAGTCTACATAATTAAAAACAATTTTAATCCATTTTTTCATGTTCATATTCTCAAAACAAAAACAAAATAGTCTGTTGATATATGGAAACGCTATTCAATTTCTGGTGGATACTATAGGATGGAGAGTGTACGGTTTGGAACAAGAGAAGGGAAGGCTAAAGTTTTTGGGACACTCTTAGGTGTTGGTGGAGCTTTTGTCTTTATATTATATAGAGGAAAAGATATTCATATCTGGTCAACGCACATTGACCTAATGAACAAATCACATGACTCCTCACGTGATGCTACCTCCCACCATATTTCTCTCCTCGGGGCTCTTTTTGTTTTTGGTGGCAACTTTTCCTACGCATTTTGGCTATTATTGCAGGCAAGTCTTTTTCATTTCTCTTCTCCTATGCATGTGGTGTAATATTAAGGAATATATATATTGAATATAGTTTGGAATATACTAAAATGCATAGTACTCATTTTAGTACTAGACAATATTGAGGTGACGTGGCTTATCATCATCTAAATATAGATATGCACATTATAAATGATATCAAATGTCTAAATTTATGAGAATTTCTTTTGGTTTACTGCAGGTAAAAGTAAGCAAACAATTTGGAGGGGCTTACTGGAACGCGACGCTAATGAACCTGACGGGAAGCGTTGTGGCTGTTATTATTGCTCTTTGCTGGAATTGTGATTTGAAGGAATGGAAATTAGGATGGAATATCAGGCTCTTTACGATTGCTTATGCGGTAAATAAAATATCGAATATATATGTCTTTTTCGTCAATCTAATAAGGTCATATGAAACTATTTAGTTTATCAAACATATATACCATCATAAAATTTTCTAAAAAGAAATAATTTCTTCTAAAAGAAGACGGTCATGTTGGTAGATATAACACATTCATATGAGTAAATGTGAGAAGGTTTTAGATTGGCCTTATTACATATCTTTCATGTGATCTATCGCAGTCAATTGTCATGTCCGGAATGGTGATAGCAGTCAACGCATGGTGCGTCGAATCTAGAGGACCCTTATTTGTATCGGTATTTAGTCCTATAGCACTTGTTGTCGTAGCTCTTGTTGGATCATTTATTCTAAACGAAACACTTCACGTGGGGAGGTACAAAAACTCATGTATTTTTATATTGCTTTGTGGAAATTGATTTGTTATGTGTATGTATATAATGGTTTATCTTTACATGTCGACATTACAGCATAGTTGGTACAGTGATTATCGTGGGAGGATTATACCTTGTGCTATGGGGTAAAAACAAAGAAATGAAGAGTATCACTCCGACCTCGGATTATATTGAAACAAATAAGACAAACAAAGACATCAGCCTCAACAATGTCCCAACATTGAATACAAATGTCCCCTGATTACAATACAAATCAACCGTTACTTTTTATATATGTTCTACGCTTCTAGCTATTTTGGAATATTAATTTATGATATTTATCTATGTAAGCTATACATGAAGAAGATTTCTTGAATGTTGTCTGTAGGTTATGATGTGCGTTCGTTACTATCAAATCAAAACTACAAAATTTTATGTCGGGTTATGGTTTTAAGAATATAAACTTATAAAATCTATTGGTTTAATTTCTTTTATTAATTTGAGTTCTGAGGCATAAGTATAATTTAGAAAAGGCACAAGACTTCTTGATTTGCTTAAACGAGATTAAGGGCCAATAATGGGCCGTTCCAATTACTTCCCTCTTTGCTAAACTTAAACCCTTATCATAATTGATTCTCCAAGCATCTAGTAATGTTTGATTCGTACAAGACAAATAACCAAAGATTCTCGAGTTAACATAAGCAGAGACCACACGATACCATTCTTCCCCTAGACAGAAAAAGAATAACTCACTCGTACAGGCTTCTTCTTACCTCGTCTTTAAAACATGTACACGTACATAAGTATAAATGCATATGTGTCTAGACCTTAATCCCAAAGAGACTAAATTTCACGTTTTCATGTCTGAGTATCGTTCAAGAATTATTGTGAATGGAACAAGAAGAACAAGAACGTTCCACTACTTCTATTGCCGTCATTGCAGCCGCACCATTAGACTCCGAAACTATGGTCTATATGGTCCTTTATGTCCTTTCTGTTCTAGAGAGATCAATCTCCACGATGAGCTTGACATTATGAGGCTAAATGGACCTTATTGGGATACCGATACCGATTGGATCACTCTCCATCTTATCAACTCTACTAGAAGCAACCGGTTCAATCATGAACTAGTTAATACCGCTGATGAATTCGCTGATGTCTTTCCTAACGAACGTGTCGGTCCACCACCGGCCTCTCCATCGGCCATCGAGGCTGTGAACACGGTGACAATCTCGGAAGAAGATTTGGCGAAAGAGAAGGTTTGTGCTATATGCAAGGAGGAGTTTGAAGTTGGAGAGGAAGGGAAAGAGTTGACATGTTTGCATTTGTACCATCCAAGCTGCATTGTGTCTTGGTTGAATATTCATAATACTTGTCCCATTTGTCGCTTTGAGGTTAACTTAGGCGTTTCCCAAAGTCACGTTGAAGGTGGAGGGTCTCACCAGGTCGATAATGATCGATCAAATCGCGTTCGAACTAGGGTTTGTTCTTTGTGGCCTCTCCGAATGATGTTTGATTGGGTGCATAATCTCCTCGGTAAGATTCCTCCTCCTGATTTAACTTTCATGGCTATCGTATTATGCTTTAATGTTTTTAATTATAAAGTTTAACTTGTAATTGAAGAAATATTGCAGATGTAAGAATAACAAACACTTGAAAAAAATCAAAGATATTGAGAACAAGAATATTGTATGAAAATAGTAATTATACATAGACAAAATTAGGTTAATTATGAGAGAATGGAGTAAAAATACACATCAAGAAGAAAAAAAAAAGAGGCAACGGCGATTAAAGGCGAAAAGAGGCGTTTATGGATTTTTCGTGAAACAAAACTCTTGAGTATATTTTATGTAATTCATTATCTTTAATTCCTTTGGAAGTTGTACGTAACTTGTGTAAATAAAATTAAAAATTGTGAGGTGAAAAAGAATTTGTTGGAAGTACCTGTATCCTGGTTTAGTCAAAGAATTTTAAAAGTACATTTATCCGGAATCCAAAAATCAACCGAACTGAAAAACGAGATTCGGTTCGGGTTTAGATCTTATCAATTACCTGAATGGATCATATATTCTTAGAATCAAACTAAAACTGAACTGGTACTTGAATTTTCATAATATAGTTATATATTTGTAAATATTAACAATATTTGATTTTACAATAATCAAATAACATAAAAAATATTATTTACAAACATAAATACTCGAAAAACCAAATGATCAGAATACTTTTTATCTGAAAATTATAAAATTATTTGAATTATCCAAAATTTTATTAGAAACCCCAATTTTTTTTTTACTTTTAATCTGAATTAATTGAACAATCGGAACGGAATAGGATCCAAATTAGTCTGTAAAATTTTTTGATTTTGTTGTAAAAGATGTAGTTTTAAAATTTATTGTTACAACAACATATTTTCTACAGCAAAAAAGATGTGATTTTAGAAAATAAGGATTTTACAACCATTCTTTTAGTTTTTGGCTGTATCTTTAAAAAAATAAGATAAAACATGATTGGTGATTTAATTGTTGTAAATAAAAATTGTCAACACTTACAAACCAACTAATCACCGTGTTAAGGTTCTCAATTTTGAATATGGATATATACTCTTATGTTCTATATGTATTGTCTTAGAGCGTTTCTTACAAATACACAATGCAAGAAAATCCACGTTATACTTCTAAGTTGTAACAGAAAAGATTACAAAAAGATATTAAAGAATCAAAGAGATAACATAGTATCTAAACATAGCCGATGAAAACAAGACTTTCTTAATTTGAGCGATGGTTTTTCTCTGTTCATCACTAAAGAGGGGATAGTTATTGTAATATTATACGACATTGTTGTAAAGTATATTAGATTTTTGATCCGCGCTTAAAAAGCGCGCCTATAATTTCTATTGTTTTTTTTACATAATATTTTGGTTTGGTGATTTAAAATGTCACTATTTAATATAACTTTTAAAAATTAATGCAGATTTTAATTTATTGTTATCATCAATATTTATGTAAATGTATTGTATAAATGTATTGTATGTAATTGTGTAGCTTTATTTTGGAAAAAATAATAATATCAATTAACTACGCTTAGTGCTGAGAATCGGGTCAAACTCGCTCCGCCTGACCCGCAAATAAAAAATATTTTATCCGCATCTACCCCACTTAATTTTGTGGGTAATCAGCGTGACACTCAGATAATTATTAAATAATAAAAATAATTTTTTTATTTTTTTTCTAAAAATACTAAATAGTATATTTTAATTAAATTTTTAATATTTTAAAAAATTATTTTAAACAAAATTTAGTATATTTTTGAAAAATAAACTTAAAAAATATATTTTATTTTTGCGGATTACCGAATATCCGCAATTGAAATTATAACAACCCGCATCCATCCCGCATAAAATACACTTGACCCACACCCGCAACTTAATTTTGTCAAATCGATCGATCCGTTCTGTAGCGGATCAAACGGGGCAAGACCCTTGGGCTAATATCAAAATTCCTAACTCTAATTATGTCAACTAAGGTTAATGTTTTTATTTTTAAAGAAATTTCAGAAATAATTAGAAGGTGGATTGATCCCGTTAATGAAACTTATTAGTATTTTAGGCCCAAAAAGAAAAGATAAAATTGTTATTAATGAAAAATTAAATTTGTTCATAAGATTAACGATAAATTTGGAAAAATAAATCATTCATTATTTCTGTTTTAATGGTATTGATTATGTACTATGTTCTGTTCTTTTTCAGATTTTCTGATAGCTTAATTACAAAATGTTTTCCTCAAAGAAATATTGCGATGAGAACACTGGCCTCTGTCGTGGAGTATCCTTCATGGATAGCTAATCGTGGTGCCTTCATGGATAGCTAATTGTGGTGGTAAGATGATTATGGTGTCAAAATTATTAACCAAATGTTGGTCAGATTAGGTTGACTAATTAACACACACAACTACAATTATTTAGTACACATGTATAACCTCTACAGTTCTCTAAGTTTTTAATTTCAGTGTGGAACAAGTAAAATTTCGTTGATGATCAAAACTAGCAAAACATCCAATATAATATACAAGTACGTGCTTTATTCATTAAGTTGGTCGTAACGGAACACAATTACAAAGCAACTATAAAGCTCGAGCTTTTACTTTTTTTTTTTTTTAGTTGCCAGCATAAACATACCATAACTAAAGCACAAATAACATGAAGCAAACATACATGCACGTCCGAATTTGGTGTACTCTTTTCTTACATTTCATTCAAAAGATAGAGCTGACGAAAGGGCCAGTGGTGAAAGTTGCGATGTTGAGAATAGCGGTCTGAACGATATTGACTAGGTTTAAGGATGCGGTGAGGGCACCGTCCGGCGGGAAAACTGAACACGTGGCAATAGGGAGATTAACCCTGATGAAGCACGTGGCAGGATCAAAGAGGAGGGTGTCAAGAATCTTCACCGAGACGGTGAAGGCTCCGGCGGGATTAGTCAAAGCTTGGCCAAGATTGGTTTGAGACCCGGCGCACGATAGCTGGACAATGGCACCGGATAACGGAGGACTGTTTCCAATGAGGTTGCCGTTAGGGGAACAGAACAGGAGGCCGTTAACTTTGAGAGCACCGATGGGGAGACCGTTAAGTATGAGTCCGTGAGTGAGGGATGAAAATGAAGCTAAGAGAAGGATGGAGATAAGGAGAGCAGTGTGGGATGTCCTCATTTTTTATATGATATAGTAGTTGTTATGTTTGAAGTGTTTGTATTAGAGGATGTAACCATTGAGAGTTTATATAGAATGTTTTGTGAGGGTCTTTCATAATAATATAATAGATATCAGTCTGTTTTGTAATTAATGGTTGATTGTAGTGGTGTAATGTAACGCATCACGTATTTGATGACATGGTGAATTGGTGAGTGACTGAGTGTATTCCCATGACATCGTAGATTCAGGCATTTAAACTTTTGTAGAAACCCTTAGATACATGACCGTTTTAACATGTGCTAGTGCGACTGGAGCAGTTGAATAAAGCTTAACTCAAATACAATTTGTTATAATGATGAAGGGAAGAAGATAATGTAGAAACATATGAATACACAATAAGACACAAATCGATATAGACAGTTACTTTGGTTTATCGATTGGTTATGTCGATTAACAAAAAGAAAATTTATTAATTTAAATCTGAAAGTATTTCAAATTACATTCAACTACAAGAATACAATGTATATGTAAGTTTTATATGTAGTAAAACCGCAGTGATAATGAATTTGCGGTTTAAACCCAATAAAAACGACTAAACTTAAAAAATAGCATATTAAAAAGATTGTATACTGTTTTGCTAACTAATGCTATCGAGCCATACAAAATTCAATACACTTCAATACACTTTAAAGAAAAAAAATAGGACTATAAAAGTTAGGAAATATATTTTAAAAATATCCTGTATATTCTGTTACATTTACACTTATATAAAATTGTTAACATGGCCATATCAGAAGTTTGAGGCATATATACTTCTTCGGAACCAGGGGAGAGGGGGGGGGGGGGTTAATTAAAAATTATTCTACCAGCTACTATTTTACAGTTGTTGTTAATCAGTAATCCAATTGGTATTCCTGTTTGGACTATTTTCCACAATAGTATTCTTAAAAGATATTCTTACGTAATTGTTAATGACTGCTTTCACAAAATTAATTACCAGTTAGCAAAATTAATAAGTAATCCAATTCGTATTCCTGTTTGGACTATTTTCCACAATAGTATTCTTAGTTTTTATTTGAAAATTATTACGTATTTTACTTATAAAAATTAAGAAGAAAGATGCGATTCCATATTTTCAAGATTCGATGATTTAGTGGTTTTCAAGAATTTCCAATTTTCAAAATTTTCAGATTTGGTGACTAATAGTTATCGAGAAACATAGACCAACATCTCAGTATAAAAAAGGAAACATGAATAAATATAATGTTTCCTGATTGAGTGATTTCCAAGGTTTGTTTCATGGTGACTCACACTAATTTAATAGTGAAAGGTTGATGCAATGTGTGACTCACTTTGGATATAAACAAACCGTTTCCATTAAAAGAGAATAGAGAAACATGTTCTTGCTGATCTCGGAATTTGAAACAAACAAAATAAATTGTGAAGCAAACAGAAAGAAACATGAATATAACTGTGTTACGTAAGAAAGAAGCAAAGAGAGACGTTATGTTACGATTAATGATCTCCCGATTCTCTGGCAAATAACCAAAGTAAATAAGGTGGCGTAGCAAGAATTTGAGGCATGTCGTAGACTCGTAAAGTCGCTTTTCTCTTTCAATCCTTCTTAAAATAATTTCACTTGCGTATTAGGGTGGTTCAATCCAAGTGAATTCGACTAGATTCCAGTAATGGAACTTTAATCCCTTTTTTCTGAAAGATAATGGGACTTTAATCTTATGCTCTGATCCAAATCACCCAAAGTTACAAAAAGATGGATAAGAAAATAAATGCAATTAAAAAAAAATGCAATTAGGATGCATGGAAACATAAAAGGCAAGAACTGGAAATTAATTTATTCATTAGAATATCTCTATAATATTATTTGAGAAGTCAGTTTCCTATGTGTCACGCTCACATTAATTCTTACGATGGTTGATTACACTAATACCCTTAATGAATATATTTAAGTAATATTATTAATTTTATATTTACTTTCCTTTTTGCAACCTTCCAAATAACATTTCTAATAAAAAACATTTATAAATTTTCAAAGGAAAATTGAAAAACGAAAATATATTTATGTAATATGATTTCATTAAAAAGGAAAGTTCACAAAATAGTAATATTCTATCAATAAAATATTATAAATATATTAATAAGACTTATATTTAAATAGTATTATTAATTTTTTATTTAGTTTCCTTTTTAAAAATTTCCAACTAACATTTATAATAAAAAGAAAACATTTATTAAATTTAAAAGAAAAAATTACAAACGAAAATATATGTTTGTATAATAAGATTTCATTAAAAAGGAAAACTTAGAAAATAGTAAAATCCATTAAAAATATTTTAAATAACATAAAATATAATTTTGAATTAGTAAAATAATTTCTTTATATCTATATTTTCTTATATGAATATATAGATATATATATATATATATATATATAATGTGATTTCATAACAAACAATTCACACATATAATTTTGATATTTGAAAAAAAATTATTTCTTTTAAACATAATTTTAAGTAACATAAACAGGTATATGTTTTTTATTGACTAAAATAGTTTTTAATTAAATTGAATTTTTTTTTATTTTGCACATATTTAGTTGACTATAATATCTTTCAACTAAATAAAAAATATCTATAAATTAAAATTTACTTATATAATATGAATTCTCAAATAAAACCACAATTGTTTACTGCTTATTTTTAAGAGAGCTCAAAAATTTAATTTTTTAACAAGAAACATCTTTTGATCAAATAATTACAAAATATATTAAAATATCATATCACTATATACTTTAACGAGATAGATATGTTATATTCTATCATTATTAAAATTATATGTTTTCTTAATATTAAAGTTGTTTTTAAATTTTATGTTTTTATGTTTGTGGATCTTAATATAACCATAATAAAAATACCAAAAAAATCTGAATTCTCATTTTAAGATTATTTAAATTAATTTCAGTTTACCATTCAATAAATCTAAGACATAAAATTATTTAGAATTTATAAAATATTTTGGTTATTGTAAATATTGATAGGTGTTCATGAATCTCCAAAAAAATATATCAGTTACTCATGTATATAACATTCTACTGATTATTGATTTATTTTCTAATATTTTCAAGTAAACATATAATTTGATAAATATAATACAAATACATGCACATTTAAATGATAAATAATGTTAATTTTATTTTACTTAATTACAATAAAAAATATACTTTAGTTAGAATTTAACTCAATATACACACAATATGAGTGGCTTGACTAATCCAACTTATATCTAAAATCATTGATTTAACTATAATAAGAATATATAATTTTCTAATAATAATAATTTATTTTATATATACAAATTATAGGATGACGCAAAACATATTAACAAATGAAAATAAAGTATTAACCAACTGTTACAAATTAGTTATTTTGTGAAATTTATATATATGCATGAGACTTCAAAGATTGTCTTTATATCAACTGATGTAATTTGAAACAACACTTTAGTTTATTTTTTTTTATTTCATTATAAGCACAATATATCTTAAGTTATAAATAATTTTTCTTTATATTTACATATATAAGACAACAAAAAACCTAAAAGCAAATAATAAAATTAATCAAAATTTTAATATATTTAGAATAAAATTATTATAGTTGAATTCAGAGAAATAGATGTAATCTAATATATTCAAATAATAATAGCTAAATCGACTATCAAAATAATAAATCGACTAGATATAACATTTCTAAAATAATATATCTAATTAAAGTAATATAGTATTATCAATATAAATCATATAAATTAATTTAAAATTAAAGATAAATAGCAATCAATTATTATAGTATATTTAGTTAATAATATTTATATCCGTGCATGAGCACGGGAAAATCACCTAGTCATTTATTTATTTATCAACATGTAGTTCTTATAGATTCTTAAAGTGGAAATTAATCAGTTTGTTCGTTATGAATTCAGATTTCTGTAGTTCTTATATATTCATTCTTAAAGTGAAAATTAAACAATATAATGTTCTTTGTTATGGAATAAAGAAGAAGGTTGTAACTCTATGTATCTTATTCATCACGTGCACATACATATATATACATACAAGAGAATAAGCATATTCCTTAGGAGATAAGGATTACAACAATAAAGGGGATGATTATCCTAATCCTATAATGATTAGGATAACTACAACATATGGATAAATACAAGGGAGGATAGTGACTGATG